GGCCGCGGACCACGTGTCAGGGGTGGAAAAACGGCCGCGGACCACGTGGAACGGGCGGAAAATGGCTCGTAAGTCGAGGCGAATTCGGAAGTAGAGGTAAATTTTTGGGGCTGATCGTATTTCGAAAATTTCATAAGTAGGGGCGTTCGTAAGTAGAGGTACCACTGTATATTATTTTTTAATCAAACCCTTTTAGATTATCTGGTAGCCAGAAGAATTAAGTATTATTTTAAGTATTTTACACAAATAAAAATAATACTGAGTAAAGCTGAAAATAATTCATAAACTAGGCTAATACTTTTACAGAGGTCAAGGGAATCATGGCTTGTCAAGTCACCTTGGAAATTTCTACCTGAAATCTAAACCAGGAACATGGAAAGATTTTTAATTTGGGATGGTGATAAGATGTTTGCTTTGTTTCTAAAACATCGTAGACTAAAACTACCAATATTTACTTGGAGAACACTGAGCCTACAGAAATAATGATATCATTTTAACTCTTTTGGCAGTTCTTAAAATTCTGAAAACACAAAGAGGAAATGATATCGAGAGTATGTACGTATTTGGTTATAAAAAAATATAAATATATATACCACCCATTTCATTTGCTCAGGGAAGCTTGTCTGAATACATATGAAAGGCTTAGAAAGATACATATATAACATATAGCATTTAAGGCAACATTTAGCAACATTGGTTCTTTACTATGGTCACTAATCAGAATATAACAAATCAACAACCGATGGGACCCAATAGTGTACAAGTAGATCATCAATGCAATCAAAGTGCATTTGGTTTTACAAACATGTAACAAAATTAGGCCATGTTCATAGAAACTGAATACTCCTCTGATAATAACAGCTTTACACAGACTAGATCAGAATTGCCTGGGTACTTTGGTGAATAAGGGGTGATAAAATGGACCCCTGTACCCTTATAAAATATCAAAATGCAATGTAGCAGGACATGAAATATGGATTCAATAGACCCTTGTCCACAACATGGGATTGGGATTTTTTTGTACATGCCCTCAAGAACTACCATAGGGAGGACATTTAAGCATGCTGAAGTTTGTGGTGTCCAAAATTTAGGGAGTTATATGGTGTATATATGTTGCTGGCCTGATGAAAGGGGGCTGGCTGCTCAGGAAAACATTCCTTGGTAGGGCAGATTGATCCAGTTCAGCTTCCAAACCTTGGGCATGTTTAAATGCAATAAGTGTTAGTCATAAATCATCATCAACAAGGCTTCTCTAGAAAACCCTGCCTACTCTTAATACCATGTTAGGAACATGTGGGGCACTTGAAATATAACCCTTTAAAAATTTGGACTGGACCCTTTCCAGTGGGGCAGAAGGTCCCAACTGAGCACCAAACAATAATTGCCTAAGTGCTTTAACTGAATAAACCTTTAGTGCTGCTGGGATATGCTCTGCACATCTGGTAAGATAGCAGGACTGTATAACTGCTGCGGTTTGTGCATTTTGGCTGATGTAATTTTGATGTGCACTGCCTTTAGTGGAACTATGAAAGTCCATGCCCAAATATTTGAAGATTTTTACTTGCTCTATAATCTGGCTTTTAGCCACCAGGCATTCATTCTAGGTTGCTTTGTTTTAGAATAGTTGATCTCAACCATAGGCTAAGGTATTCAGGGTTTGTTTAAGTCTGATTGATGTTTGTGATAGAAGTGCTACACTGTCTGCATACAGTAGGGTTGCAATATGTCTATTGGCTAATTTTGGAAGGTGGTGCTCTAATTTAGCTATTTTGGCCATAAGAAGGTCACTATACAAATTAAACAACAAAATGCATCCTTGCCTCACTCCTGTTTGAGTTGGGATCTCTTTCTTGCATATTGGAACAGATCTATATTTTAGAATTCTCATTAACAGTAGCCGTCTACTAAAGAAGTATTTATGAGTTTATCCTCCAATCTTGTTCTGGAAATATGATCACATGCAGACCCAAAGTCAATGAATACAATATATAGTGTAGAGCCTGTCTTGGACAAATATTTTTCAGCCTGATGTGGCAGTATGAGGGCATGGTCAAGAAGAGAGGGTTTTTTTTTTTTTTAAATCTGCACTCAGTCGTTACCAACT